TAAAAAAGAAAATATAAGAGACTATTTTAAAAGAATTTCTATGGTGTTTTTTTTTTTTTATATCATCAATTATTTACATTTCTATCCTTTTTACCATCACCTATTATCCTACAATTCTATGATATATATTTTTTCGTTTAAAAAAACTAACTTTTAAAATGACAAATGTAAAAAAGAAACTAATGCATTTTCTAATAATTTTAATAGATATAAATCAATGTTAATAAAATATATCTATATAAATAAAATCAAATGTTAGATTATTTTGTTCTTTAAAAAAAAAAAAAAAAAACTAACTTCAAAAACGACAAATATATCAAGAAAAACTTTAATAATATTTTCTAATAATTTAACAAGATAAATCAAAGTTAATAAAACAAATCTAAATTAAACAAAATCAAATACTAAAACTAATTTATTCTTTTTTTTTAGATTGCAGAAGGAAACAACGTACCAATAGTTACTCTCTTCTTTTTATAAAATAAATAAACAACAAAAACAACAACAAATAAGAGAGAGAGATAGAGAACAATATTTAAATAGTTGATAATAGAAGAGAATTTCTCGAATTCCTGGATTGTACTCGATCAATCTACACGAACACATTAAAACTACAGATAAGTAAGAGTCAACCGGCTGCAAGCAAGTTGCATGAACGATGCACGAACGACGACGACGACGACGATGCACCAGCAGCAGCGATGCATTATTTCCGTTATCGCGTACGATTGGCAGCGTGAACGAGCGACGGTCATACACGTACTCGTTAAACTTTCTAAGCACGCCATACTAACCACTTGCATACATACACTCTTATATACACTTATATACGTATACATATATTTATATATATATATATTAAATATATACACGCGAGAGAAAGAGACAAATGCACTTACTTACGCATGCATGCATGCATGTACGCATAATACAATTTAAGTATATAGTAGATGTTTGTGTTAGTGTGTTTATCGATGTACAATGAAATCCCAATCGTTTATCCAACCTACGAACTGGCGTTGTTCTTCTTCTTCTTCTTCTTCTTTTTCTTCTTCTTCACGTTGACGCAAATGATAAACGTTGGTTGGTTCGTTGATTGGTCTATTCGATAATATGCAAGATGCATTTTAAAAGTTTACTTGCTTAATTCTATACGTTATTTCCTATTGAAATACTTAATCATGCTCGTACGGTTTCTCATTAGAAACGAGAAGGACGATTTTGTCATACATTTCATTATCTCTTTTTTTCTTTTTCTCTGTTTTTTTTTTTTTTTTTCATTAATTATTTCTATGCAAAAAAAAAGGGAATACTTTAAAAATTAATTTAACAACGGGTTTAAGAATTTCTATAGTTTAACACATTCCATTATCTTCGTTTTTTCTTCTTCCTTTTATTCTTTCTTACGTG